TTTTCCACAGGAGGAAGAAAACCCCCTGTGGATCCCTGAAAGACTCACTCGAAGAGCTCCTTCACAACTCCAGAATAAGAAGGATGGAGGCCAAGTGGGTGATGAAGACTCTCCTACTCGGGATGATGGTTCCTAGTATGATGGGAGAGTTACGGTGGGCCATCATGTCTACCTTCCCCTACCGATGCCAGTGATGCAGAATGCCCAGGTGTTCCCTAGATTTTTCACAAATAATAGAGAGTTGGGGCTTGCCTTTTTGCCTTTAGATCCTCAGATACAGAGTTTTCAGGATGAGAGAACCTTGTCATTAGTAGGAAGCTTGTGCTTTACTGTGATTTCTTCATTAAAGGATAATTTTATTCATATGGATCCAGAAAGATCTAATGCTAATCCTTTTGAATTAATGGAAGCTGTACTGATCTTTCTCCTATGATAGTGAGAAGGGACAGATTACTTTTGATTGGAAAGGGGCATTAGGCAACAGTCTGAGTGAGGGACAGAGCTCTGGATCATCTGATTGGTCCTCCTCCAATGTTAAGTATACCCCTTTTAAGAGAACTAATTATTCAGCTGCCCTTTATTTGGGTTGTGAGTAATGATACCTTAGGTAAGAATCAGAAAGAAATAAATTGCTCTGCTTAGAATTGTTTTTATGCATTATGCTGGGATGCTATTAAGCACCCTTTTGCTTTGGTAATGCGCATGCCTCGATTTGTTCCAGTTCCTGTTGAGGCGCCAAGTAATTTGAGTTTGTTTAGGGAAAAGCGAGATTTTTGGGATCTCTGCTATTATTGTGGGCCTGATAGCCACCGCCGCGGTTACTGCTTCGGTTACCGCCTCGGCCCTTGCACTTTCTGCCACTGTGCAGACAACTCAAACCATTAATGAACTATAGGCCACTGTGACCATGGTCCTAGATAAACAGGCCACTGCCAATTCTCAGATACAAGGAGGCCTGATGTTGGTAAACCAACAGATTAATTTGGTTCAGGAACAATTGGATATATTGTGGCAGATGGCCAAATTGGGATGTGAACAAAGTTGCCTGGCCTTTGTGTCACTTAGTACAATATGAGAATTTTACAAGAGCAGCTAACCTGTCAAAAGCTCTGTCTCAACATTTATTACAGAATTGGACTTTTGAGTTTGAGCAGACACTCCGTGAGTTGAGAATGGCGATCCTGCAAGTGAATTCGACGCATCTGGATCTTTCTCTGATGGAAGACCTCTCCCCCTGGATTTCATCTGCATTTTCTTATTTTAAGGAATGGGTGGGGGTAGGATCATTTAGCCTAGTTCTCTGCTGTGGAATAGTGTTGATGCTTTGGATGGTGTGTACGCTCAGAGCCCAAACAAAAGGAGAAAGTGGTGGTGGCACAAGCACTTGCTGCCTTAGAACACGGAGCATCCCCTGACATTTGGTTAACCATGTTAAAGCAATAGGTCGCTGGCCTCCCAGCTCTTGCACCCCACGAGGCTAGTCTCATTGCACGGGATAGAGTGGGTAGGCTTCAGCAGCCCAAGGAGTTGCAAGGCTAAGCACTGCACAGGAGAGGTCTGCGGTATAACGACTTTCTCCTGGGAGATAAGTCATCTTGCATGAAGGTTCTATGTCATGATCTCCTTCCCCCAGAAAAAGACATCGGACTGGTCAGGACTTCCTCTGGGGATAAGACCCTGGAGAGGAGCTTTGTACATGTTCCGAATTTGCACATGGGGATTTGACCTCTATCTCCACTCCAAAGTTGTGGGTGTCCTATTGCTTCAAAAATAAATGAATAGGGGGAGATGTGAGGAGCCGCCCTCGCTATCGCTATTGCCGTTAGAAGATGGCGCTGACATCCACTGTCAGTTGGAGTTAACTGTCGCTGTCAGTTGGAGTTAACTGTCGCTGTCAGTTGGAGTTAACTGTCGCTGTCAGTTGGAGTTAACTGTCGCTGTCAGTTAGAGTTAACTGTCGCTGTCAGTTGGAGTTAACTGTCGCTGTCAGTTGGAGTTAACCGTTTAAACTGTGCCTCTCCCGTGACGTCATCTGGGGTGATGTGCAAACCACCAATCCCGGCTCTACACATCTCACTCGGAGCTCCTAGGCTTATATAAGGGGCTGGGTTTCTTAGCTTGGGGTCTCCCTCTAAGAAGCTGATCATCTATCTCTCAAGATGCATTAAAGCTTTACTGCAGAAGGATCCGAGTGTTCTGCGTCGTTCTTGCTGGCGAGACGGTAGCGCGGGACATGTCACTCTCGCAAATTCATCTTCATTCAGTGCCTGCATTGTTACACCTGCTTTTCAGCTGGTGCTCGCCCATCCTTGTTAGCATCTGAAGTGCTGGGGTCCATCCCAGGGTGCAGTGTGTGCCTAGCAGGTGTCCCAGCACCGAGCTGCACTCGGGTTCTCCTTTCCCTTTTTATATATTGGGCTGGATAGGCCACTGGGTTGCCTAGGCTGGCCTTGAGCTCACTCAACAGCTGGAGATCCTGTGATCTTCTCCTTCCGTCCCCTAAGTAGCTGGGTTCCCGGCCTGCCTGGAGTCTGGTCTCCTGCTAGCTTCTTAGGAAGCAAATCTGACCGATTCAGGCCTATGATGGCTGAGTCTTTGCAGTCTGTCCTCAAAGGCCCTTTCCAGCTCCATCAGCTGAACCTTTCCTTCCCATACAGTCTGCTTACACAGCACCCCGTTTCTCAGTGGCTCACCCCCACCTCTGCCATGGAGGCCTCATCTCTTGTGCCACTCGGGAGGACGTCCTAGTCTTCAAAATCGGCTTTGTTGTTCTTAGTGTGTGTGCGTATCTGCCCTTATTGACGGCAGAAAACAACTTCCAGGAGTTGCTTCCCTTTCCCGCGTAGGTCCAAGGGATCAAACTCACAATGTCTGGCTTGGCAGCGAGCAGCCTTACCCACTGGGCCATCTCAATGGTCCCTCAAAGTCCACTTCCAATCTCTTTTCTGAACTCTTTCTACAAGTCTGTATTGCAGACACAGTGTTATTAGTGTCTATTTCTCAAGTGTTTCACTGTGTGTGTGTGTACGTGTGTGTGGACACACTCAACTGTTCAGACACAGATATATGGCTACCTTCCTTTTCACCTTATTTTTTAGACAGGGTCTCTCGGGGAACCCAGAACTCAGTGTTTTCTGCTAGCCTGGTTGGCCAGTTTGCCTCTGGGACTCCCAGTCTCCCAGCACTGGGGTTACAGAAGCGCTGCCGTGCAGAGCTTTGACTCGGGGGCTGGGGATCTGAACTCAGGTCTTCATGTTAGTGCAGCAAGCACTTTACCCACTGACCTCAACTTTTTGTTGTTTTCTGAAGCTCACTCTGTAGAGCAGACTGGATTCAAACTCACTGAGCTCTACCTGCTTTTGCCTCTTGAGTGCTAGGATCAAAGGCCACTATACCTGCTGTACCTTGTCTTCAAGAGGTAGATGTGACAGAATATGGATTGAATTGTGCTCACCCCTAAAATAGGGTCACATATTGACTCCTTAACCTCCAAAGCGATGGTAACTGAAGAAAAAGCCTTTCAAGAGCTAGTTAGGCTTAAATGCTGTGCTTTTTTTTTAAGGAAATCTTTTTTTAAGATTTATTTATGATGTGTACAGTGCTCTGTCTGCATCCAGATGAGGGCATCAAATCTCACCGTCATGTGGGTGCTGGGATTTGAACCCAGCTCCTTTGGAAGAGCAACCAGTGCTGAGCCATCTCTCCAGCCCCAGAAGCAGTCTTTACAAGAACAGGAAGAGCCAGGTGTGGTAAATACTCTCGTAATCCCAGCACTTGGAAGGAAGAGGAGGGAAGGTAGGGGTTAAACGTCAATCCTAGGAGGTTTCCACATGAGACCCTATCTCAGAAAACAAAACCTAAAGATATGAATGACATTTCCTTCTGTTGCTAAAATTCCTCGGTTGGAGAGGGGATGTGAGCAACATCTATTCCTCCATCTAAGACCCCAAAACAAACCAGGGAACAGTTCCTTCAAAGTTCACTTTGGGAAAACCAATGAGCTTACTGGACTTAACACCGGAGCCTAGGTGCTTCCCCCACAAGCTGTGACTTTCCCACACGCTGCCATGGATGGAGCCCCAGCCTCTAGTCTCCACCCCATATATACTCCTCCCTGAGGCTGTGGGCAATTAGGGCAGAATTGGATACAACAGCTGTGACTGCTCCCTGCCTCTCTGTTCAGGGCGCAAATGGTCAACAAGCCCAGCCGAGGTGATCTTTGCCTAGTGGATGCAGCCAAACTCCCTAAGATAGTAGCTGTTTGCCTTGGGGGATGATCCTGTACTACACCCTCTTTCCAGGCATTTTCCCCAAAATGACCCAGTGAGGACGCAAAGGACACAGCTGTTGGAAAGCCAGGAGGAGGCCTCAATAGAAACCAATCCTGCAGACACCTCTATCCCCAGAGCTGTGAGAAAATGCTCTACTGTCCAAGGCATAGTCCGGTCTGTTTACTAGGGCAGCCTGAGATGATGTGTCACTAATGCCACGATTTCAAAGATTAAATGTAAGAAAAGAGCATTTTGTGTATAAGCATTGTGTCCCCATGCACGTGTGTGCACCATACACATGCCTGACACTGGAAGAAGCCAGAAGAGGGCATCCAATCCTGTGGAGCCTGTGCTGTAGATGGATGTGAGCCTTTTTCTTTTTCTTTTTTTCTTTCTTCCTTTCTCTTTGGTTTTTCGAGGCAGGGTTTCTCTGTATTGTTTTGGAGCCTGTTGAACTCACAGGGATTCACCTGCCTCTGCCTCCCGAGTGCTGTGATTAAAGGAGATTAAAGGCGTGCGCCACCAACGCCCGGCTGCCTTTTTTTTTTTTCAATCAGGTACATGTATGTACTTGATAGGAACCAAACGCTAGCCCTCTGCACATCTCTCCAGCCCCATTTCAAACATTTTTAGACACATTTTTAGGCACACAATTTCCACGAGAGAGGGAGGAACTCAGAACTCACAGCAATTAGCAGGCAGGAGACACCAGGACCCTAAGAGAGTGGACAGCTTTTTAAAAAGTTTTATTTCAAGAACCTTGTTTTTTAAGTGGTATTCCAAAAAAAGGTGGGTCAAAGTACAAAAAAAAAGTCAGTTGAATAACAGCAGAGGTTTAGAAATCCCAGCTGCAGAAGCAATGCACAGACAGCACAGACAAAACGATCCAATATATGCAATCCTGCTCGGTTTCTTTGCTTATTTTAAGTGTTTTCCCCTCCTACAAAACACATCGGAGCATGCCATGAGATCAGAAAAAGAAAAGCTTAACAAATGGTTACGAGAAGCCAACTGTACAAGAGGAGACAGCGTCCTTCCCTCCCCCACCCCCTTTCCTGGCTTCTCTTTCTGTTTCAGGTCAGGTTATTCTGGAGACAGTTCACCTCCAAGTCAGCTTGGTCACCTTTGCCGCCCTCGAGTTTGGGTGACATGGAGTTCTGGATGTTAAAGGACTCTTCTTCTTTCAGACAGGACTTGAGAACTTCCTGGATTTTGTGGGGAGCACTGGGGTCATCCTAGAAGAGGAGAGAGTTGGGGGATTGTCGGGGAGCAAAGCTACAGGCAGAAGGACCAAAGCAATCATGTCAGGGTTTCCTAGCAGGCTGAGAGCAGCGGTCAGGGAGCAAAGTCATCTTCATGAGGTTCACAGGAAACCTCAGCTCAAGGGATGTGGGTTCAGTGCTAGCCTTGGCGACATAGCAAGTTCAAGACTGGCCTGTACTGTGTGGGATTTTCTCTCAAAAACAAATAGGCAGGCAGACACACGTAACCAGATTATGAATAATTTTGCTTCAGGCCATTCATCTTTTCTCACAAAGAGAGATGAGGAAGAAATAGGTCCACTTATTTATTTGTTTGTCTATTGGCAAGGTCTTACTATGTAGCCCTTGCTGGCCTAGAACTCATTATGTAGATCAGGCTAGTCTTGATCTCACAAAGATCAGGCTGCTTCTACCTCTCTAGTGCTGGGATTAAAGGCATGCACTGCCATACCTGGCTATTTCTTTTTTAAAGATTTTCCCAGGAAATCTGTGCTTACTATTATTTTTAGTTCTGTGTATGTGTGCATCTGTGTGTGGGTATGTGTACCTGAGTGTGGCTTCTCTGAAACTGGAGCTGGATGTTAAAGACTGCATGGGCCTCATGCCATCAGAACTGTACCTGCTGCAGAATTCACTCCGGGGCCTCCCACATTCTGTGTGGGCCTAAATCCAAGCTGAGGGTTCAGAACGCACCTTGGAGGTCCACCTGTGTCCAGAACAGGCACCTGGCCTTGGCTGTATTTGCCCATTAAGGGTTTACCAGAAGCCCACACCTGCACAGGCCTCCAATTTCTCATTTGGAGTGCTTAGAGGGCTGCCACGGCAACTCCTGCCCCATTCCTTCCCACAAAGCCACTGCAGGGAGGACTCCTCAGCCCCAGTAGCCATTGTAAGTGCCCAGACTCTCCTGATTACACAGACAGGCTCATGTTAATCAAGAGGGGTAGATAGAGAGGTGGCTCAGTGGTTAAGATCACTTACTGTTTCTTCCAGAGGACCCAGGTTCGGTTCCCAGCACCCACATCATTCCAGTTCAGGAGGGTCCCATAATCTCTGTTCTCTGTGGGTACCAGCCAAGCATGTGGTGTATATAAGCTCACACAATCACATACATATACACTTTTTAAAGGAGAGAATATGCTTATCTCACTAGATATTTTTTTTTGAGACAGGGTTTCTCTGGGATTAAAGTGTGTGCCACCACCTCGTTTTGAGATATGGTCTCAGAGTCTCTGGCTGTCCAAGAACTCACTGTGTAGACCAGACTGGCCATGAGCTCAGAGATCCTCCCGCCTTTGCCTCTGTCTCCCAAGTGCTAGAATTAGAGGCATTCACTATCACCCCCAGATTAGTTTTAAAAAAATATTTAGTTATCTGCCTGTGTTTGTATGAGTGTATGCACACGTGTGTGCTGCATGTGTTTGTGTGTGCACACATGTGTGCTGCATGTGTGTTTGGGTATGTGCATACATGTGTGCTGCATGTCTCTGAGTGTATGCACACATGTGCTGGATGTTTGTAATGGACAGAGTGGGCTTCCGGCTCCTCATTTACCACCCTCCATCTATTCTTTGGAAACAGAGGTGGAACCCCAGATTCTGTTTTCTCAGCAAAACTGGGAGCCAGGAAGTCTCAGCCATACTCCTGCCTCTGCCTACCTTGGAGTTAGGATTGTGGATGTGCATGGACAGCCCAGCTTGCTATGGGAGTGCAGGGCTCAGAACTCCACTCTCATCTCTCTAGCTCCTGTTTAAACCTTTTAAAGTTCATTACTGATATTATGGGGGTGCTAGTTAATTATTGGTATTATGGGGGGTGCCCCAGTGCTCATGCGGAGGCCAGAGGACAGTTTGTGGGAGTTGGTTCTCTCTTTTCCACCATATGGATTCCAGGGATCAAACTCAGGTCATCAGGCTTGGTGGCAGCACCTTCACTTGCTGAGACATCTTGGAAGCCCTATTTGCTTCTGAGACAGGGTCTCATGTGGCCCAAACAAGGATGAACTTGTGCTCCTAATACTCCTATTTTTGTCTTTCACATTCCAGAATCACACAATGTGCAGCTTCCTAAACACAATTCTTACTCTGCTTGTCTACTTTTAGTTTTTGAGATAGGTCTTACTGTGTAGCCCAGGCTGACTTAATGATCCTTCTACCTCAGTCTTTCCAAGTATTGAATTACAGTTAAGTGACACCACATAGTGGCTCATTCTTGCTTTAGTCACTTTCAGGTTCAAGATAGGGGCAGGAGATACAGAGATATATACCAACTCATGGTAGTGCTTGCCCAAAATGCAGGAGACACTTCCCCAACTCCAAAAAGGTAAGACAGTCTGAAAAGCCCAAGAGAAGCACACTCGGGCCTGTGGTCACCTCTCTCTAAGAACCTGGTTTCGGGTTCCTGCAAAGGCCTCTCACCCTATCACATGCTCTTCGGGGCACATAGTGGGAAAAAGTGCAATGTGTGACTTATATAGAGCGCTGATGTCACAAAGGTGGGGAGGCCACTTCTCATGGGCTCAGGGACTGCCAGCCAGGCCTGGTGACTCAGGCCTGCGATCCCAGTTCTTGGAGGGCTGGGGCAGGAGGATGACAAATTCAAAGCCAGTCTGAGCTATAGAGAAAACTGCCTTCTGGACCACGGGATGGAGGGAGCAGATCCTAAGAGTATGAAGCAGGGATTTGATCCCAAACAAGGGGTCCTGAACAAGTTTACAGCCTCCTGCAAAGAGAGCAGGGGATGGAGGGGGGTCTAAGTTAAGGTGGGGTTCCTTCAGCCCAACTTTCTCTTCCAGAGCTGATCCTGTTACGTCCAAGGTCACCGAATCCACAGCAGATGGACCATCTGCCTTTGACTTGGCAGACGTACCTGGCCATGAGGGAACAGAACAGACACCTGGCATGCATCCCAAGAACCACTGTGGACCCCCTATTCCCAGTGCTCTACCCCAGCCATATGGGCACCCCATGCCCAGAGGTAAAGTGCTCAGGCCTGGATCCCCCATGTCCAGGTGCAAACCTCTAAGGCAAAGGGCAGCGGGCTGTTGCGTCACCACACAGCCAAGTGCAGTCTGGGAAGCAGAAGAGATTTAAGTAGGAGACAAAAGTGCTAAAGGGACCATGAGGGGAAAACGGATGAACAGAACTCCCGGGAACACGCTCAGATCTTCAGAGGACCCAGGTGTTCCCTTTGATTGGACTGGTGAGACACACAGGGCAGCTGAGGGCCGGGCAGTCTGCCTGTGGGTTTCAGGTGATTTCATTCAGACTGTGCACCTGGCCCTTCCTACGCGTTCTCCAGCCCTCTCCCTGATGGTTGTCTCCAGGAGAGCGGCTCAGCCACACAGACTGAGCTGTGCCACAGGTGACAATGCCTCACCTGTGCTCAGAGGAGTGGAGGAAGGTAACAGACACTGCCCAGAGCAGCAGAGGTTTCAAAATGTTGAAATCTCTTAAGAGTATGACAGACAGAGTTTATGGTATAGGTAGGAAGATGGCCAACTCATTCTACTTCTACAAAAACAAAACAAAACACAAAACCTCGATTAAATTTATAAAACTGGGCTTGTGAGATGGCCCTGTGGGTAATGGTGACTGCTGCCAAGCCTAATGGATTGAGTTTGAACCCTGGAACTCAAATAGTGGAAGGGGAGAACTAACTCTCTCATATTATCCTCTTGACCTGCACAGTGAGATGACATACATGCTCCCATACACATGCAGGCTCAGGGGAGGAAAAGGTGTGTGTGTGTGTGTGTGTGTGTGTGTGTGTGTGTGTACATGGTATACATGTGCATGTAGGGACTATGGGTTGATCTTTGGTGTAACTCCTCAGCTGAAAATTACCTTCAAGACCCAAGAGGAGCCAGGAGACTACCACTTCCCTGAGGGCTGGGCAACTACTGTGTCAGCCAAGCCCACGGCCCCTCCTGAGGCAGATCCAAGGCAGCTACCCTGCTCTCTGCTGTTTTCAAAGCTGGGTCTCTCAACTATGACTCTCCACAGAGCCCAGCGGAGAACTGCAGGCTCATGCAGACATGCAGTTCTACGAGGAACTATTTCTTCATGTCTTTCAGAAGGGAGAGGAGACAGTAACTGAGAAGCTGCAGAAGCAGCAAACCTTCCTGAGGGCATTTGCATTGTTAAGTGGGAGAAACTCCATACTGGTCACATCTGCTGCCACATCCTATAAGATGGCAGCAGAGAAGCCGAGAGAGCCTGCATACACCGTCCTTCTCCAGTGATCTAGAAACCCTGACTGAATATATTTCACGGACTAAGCTATCTTCTCAGTCCTTTTATTTATTTATGTATTTATTTATTGAGACAGGATCTCGATATATAGTCCAAGTTGGCCTCAAACTCTCTCTCTCTCTCTCCCAGACAAGGGCTCAAGTGATGATTGAACTCATTAACAATCCTCCTGCCTCAGTTTCCCAAGTGCTGGGATTACACTGTGAGTCAGCACAGTCAGCTTCAGATAGGAAACATTGCTAACTTACGGGAGGGATCCCTGGACAGAACGGTCTAGACTATTAAGGAGCAAGGAGTCCTGATTTGCTAAGATCTAATCAAAATGTCTTTCAAACCTCTGCTTCCAAGCCATTGCCCCGGCCAGAGCATCTTGGCTAGTACCCCATCTGTGTAACTGTGATCGGTATACTGACAAAGTGCCCATCTGGAAGCATGGAGCCTGCATTGTGTGCAACATTCTTGGATCTAGATGTGATATAATTTGGTTTGGATGGCTCCTACTTTATTTTTAAAATTCTCTGAGAGCAATCCATTTTGTACTGTTCAGGCTGGTCAGTTAGCCAGTGTCTTCAGAACATGGTCTATTGTGACCTGGTTGTTGGGCTCATAAAAGGGTATGAACTTACCCTTTTAAGAACAGAATTCCGAGCCAGGTGTGGTATACACACAAGTAATCACACTTAGGAGACAAAGGTGGGAGGACCAGGAGTTCAAACCCATCATAGGCTACTTATAGCAAGTTGGAGGTCAGCCTGGGCTACATGAGACCTGTCTCAACTTTAGCCCCCTCAACCCTGTCCCTCAAAAAGGAAAACCAGTCAGTCATGTGAGTGGTTCGTGCTTACAGTTCCAGGGACTGGGAGATGGAAGTGGGAGAATCCACTGCAAATCCAGTGCTAGTCAGTGACAGTGAGGCCTGTCTCACAAAACCAAAACAGCCCCCACTCCAGACTACTACTAAGTCTAACGGTTTCTGTGCTCACTGTTGGCTTCAGGGACCACCCGGAAATTCCCCAGCAATGCAAGGTAAAAGACAATGATCAGCTTCAAGTCATAGGCCTTCTAGAAGGCTCCAGTACCTGTGACTCAGCCTGTCAGAGAAGCGATGCCCAGGAATGCTCGTCCCACCTTCCCTGCCCCACTGGGTTGCCCTAAGCTGACTCCAAAGCTGCCGGAGACTTCCTACTCTGAGATGGGGCCGGGCAGAGCATGCAGAAGGGGGATGTGAAGAAAGCGAGTTACCTGACAGACAATGTTATAGTGAGCCAAGGCACGGGCATGGGGGGAGGAGACACAGGGGGTGTCGCAAAGTTTCCTTACATTTGGATGAGAGCCCTCAGCAATGGTGGAGAGGGAGAAGTTATCGTTGTGGAGTTCAGATGGGGTCCGGAATTTGCTAGAAAGACAGAAGAGAGAAGGGAAAGTGTCAAGTGATTGAGGCAAACTGTAGTAGCAGCAGCAATGCCTCAGCTCCACTGTTAAATACCGTATTACACCGTCGATACAGTAAGACGCACCAGGACTTGACTGCCACTGGGAACGGACTTCAGCCACTTAAGCCAATCCAATACTTTCTTGTCCCCTGGGACTTTTATACTTGAAGTAGCACACTGGGACTTTAAAGAACTGCCAATGATATGAACAACTATGACCGTGTTTCTGCATGCCAGGCAATTACAACTGCATCAAGACAACCATCTGGCCAACAGTGATTGTACGATGCCAGCAATTGTACGACTCAATCCAATTTCAGAGATGCTAATATGTGGGAAGAAAGATGTGTCTTAGAATCAATAACTGTCAGTAGCATCTGCACATGGCATTCTCAGAGCAGTGACGCCCCTTCTCAGGCAACCCTGCCAGCAGCTGCCCTGACTGAAGTGGCCCCAGGTCCCCACTCCCCGCACACCCATGGCTTTGGTGTAGCCATGAGATGAGCAGCCAAGGGCCTGGCTTGTGTCCCTCTGGAGTGATCATGTGCACAGATTTGCGTCCCTGCCTCAATGCACAGGGACAAAGGAGGAGGCCTCCGCCCCACGGCGGTCAGCTGCAAGGTCACAGGGCTGTGCTGTCTACACACTGCTTGTCTTTACCCAGCACAGGAGCAACAGATGGCGTTTTGTCTTTTTCCCAGGACCCAGGGAAGTCCTTCAGTCACATCCTCTGGAGGGAGAGCCAGGCCCCTGGGACCCACAGGGGCGAGAGGAAAAGGGAAGCGAGGCTGGTCTTAGCCGTCTCGGGTCCCAAGGGAGCTGGCCAAGTCGTCTCCGGTGACACTGAAAGGTTCTTATTTTGCTTAGTGACCAAAGAGATCTTTTCCTAGTGCATAAGGTCACATTTGAGTGTTCAGGGTGTGGCCTTAACAGTAAACATGGGTCAGCTCTCAGATGCATAGCAGGCACAATCTGAGAGCCAAAACGAGACCCTGTATTCCTGTGTGGTCCTTAACTGACACAAGAGTTAACCACGCCCCCCCAGTCACTGATAAATTCTATTATGCTGGGATCGGGTTGAGCAGCATTCGTGTGTATGTACACAAGCCTGCGTATATGTATGCAGAATGGGTACAACTTACTAAGAGTAAATGAACCACTCCTGAAGGGACTATTGCAGACTAGTGTGCACTCTCAAAAGACGAGAACCAACAATGAGGAAGAGGCTGTTACACAGGGAGGGCATGCTCTCAGAGGGTGAGCCTTTCTCTTTTTATTCATATTTTAAAAAGGGACTCACATAGCTCAGACTGGCCCCAACCTCCCTATGTAATTGAGGCTGACCTTGACTTCGTGATGTTCGAGCTCTCATCTTTCCTGAGTGCTGCGACATACTGTCACTCTCCACTTACATGGTGCAAGGGATCAAACTCTAACTTTGAGTAGCTTTGAGCGTTGGAGGCAAGCATCCTATCAACTGAGCTAACCCCCTAGCCTAAAGGGTGAGTCTTTAAAAGGCAATGCAGTGTGGCAATAACATCTCTCTCCTCAGCATCCACTGAGGAGGAGAAGCTGATATTAAATAATGGCAGGTTTGAAGGGGCTTAAGTTACTTCATACTGATTAGTGAGCAAAATTCCTTCGCTGGCCACTGGGTGTCAAAGACTAGGGAAGCAGGTGGAGGCAGGGAGGGCAGGGGGTGGTAATTTATTTAGTTAGGGACCTGGCATGGGCTGGAAGCCTTCTCTTACACCCTTTCCTGGGTTTCGGACGCTGGAGTGTGGCTGGCTCGCAGCTGTGCAGGCCCAGGACTTCACCTGGCAGATTTTACGTATAAATAGATAAACTTGGGTGACCTTTTGGCATGAGCCAAAGGGCTGGGGAACTGGTGCAGGGGCCCTCCCGGGCACAGCCGCGGCTGGGGCTGGGTGCCGACAGAGGCAGAGGCTGCAGGGCACACACTCACTTGGTCCTGCGCAGCTTGGTGTTCTCAGTCTTGAGCAGGTAGAGCTTCTTGGCGAAGAACACGGTCATCATGAACAGCAGGAGCAGCACGAGCGCAGCGGAGCCCACGGCCACGCACATCACCTGGAAGTCGGTGATGATGGACTCACAGCGCATCCCCTTGTGCCAGATGTAGTCCTGAGTGTTACACCTGCAAGGACACGGAGGGGCTCAGGTGACAGCGCAGGCAGTCTTAGCCACAGCAAGAGCTCAGCTCCATAGCCGCTCGGCGGAGTGGCCAGGATGGCAGCCTCCCCAATCCCAGCAGATCCCATCACTGTCTTCACCCCAGTGTTAGAACTGTTCTGTGAAACGGGCCAGGTGAGCAATGTAGAGAAACTGAAGTAAAATCCTAAGTTACATGAGTGTTAAGTGACGGGGGTGGGGTGGGGTGGGGGGTGGGGGGGGGTGGGGGGGGGAATCCTGGACTTTCCCCTTGCAAGGGTTCCCAGAATTGTGCCTGCCATGGCTCTGGGCTAAAGACGACGATGTGGCTGAGGAGAAACGCTGGGACCTGGGACCTGCCCCGCACTGAGCAGCACTGTCACCCAGTTCACATGACACTGACACACAGAGGTGGGTGGATTTTCTTTTCCTACCCCCTAGAGCCCCAAAGGTTCTGCCCCTAAAGCTTCTCAGGACTGTGAGAACTATCCCGCCAACATAGTGAGAAATCAATCCCTCGGGGTGGGTTTTTGTCCTTTTGTTGAGTGACTTTCTCCTGCCCTTGGGGACATTCCCAGGCTCCAACTCTTCCAATGACATTGCTGTTTCCATGGGAACCAGGCTGCTTCAAAGAGGAAAGATGTGGAAGGATATAGAGGCAGGCAAAGGAGGGAGGACATGAACCTTGGGTGAATGACAGGCTAGAAAAAGAGGTACAGAGGTGAAATTATGCACCAGCAAAGTGGCTACCTCACATGCAGAACGGGGTGGGGAGGTGTGCCTAATAAGAGAGTTTTGTTTTCCATCTAAATCTCCCGGCAGTGGGAGGTACAGACGATCTGTTTAAGGCTGCCAGGGATTGCAGACCCTTCTAGGTGGGGGCCCTCTCAACCAGTGTTCTAGAAAAGTTCTCCATAGCTCAGATCCTCTCCTTGCAGCAGGTCAGGGTATCGGAGACAAAGGCATGCTGCAGTCTGCACCAGGAAACACTCAGCAGTCTCCTGTGAGTGGAATGTAAAACAGTCTGCGAGCAGCCACCAGGCCTGGGAGTGCAACGCCGAAGCAGGACCCTGGGAGGGGAGGTCTGAGCGTGGTCTTGGGACAGAAGCTAAGCGAGGGGGGTTGGTGTAGGCCGTGGGGAGAAGTCCTCCTGTGGGGAGAACAGTCCTGCCGACTATGGAGGAGGGCACTCTTTCTCCTTCTAGAGAATTCCCTGAGAGGATCAGGAGTTCTAGGCACTTCCACAGTCCTCCGAAGGCAGCCAGAGCTCCAGACCTCACACTGTGTTGGGAAGTTCACTTTGAAGGTAAAAATGGCAGGCCTCCAGTAGGATGAAAGATGACTTTTGCGGAGTCTCTGCTGTCCCCAGCCTGAAGTCACCACTATAGTTCTCCAGACTAAAGATAGAACAGACTCACAGGATCTCTTACACTTCTGGTGGTCTTTAACTGGCAAGTTCTTTCTAATGTCCCACAACATTTTTTTTTCTTTCTTTTTTGAGTCAGGATGGCTTTAAACTTACTATGTATCTGAGGCTAGCTTTGAGCTTGTTTCTTTTGCCTTGGCCTCGAAAGTGCTGGTATTACAGTCATTAGTTGCTATGTTTCTCCATCACCATAATTTTTTGATCAAAGAAATTACTCTTGGAAATGGCTGGACAACTCCTACTAGAACTATGTAGTTACATCCTATATGGATGATCCTAGTGCCATGACTATCTAGGAAATGACATCAGACACTGGAACTCAAGCCTCAATGCCAAGATGCTACAGCCAAAACTTAAGTGCTTAAAAATAAAGGAACATGCACACCTTTAATCCTAGCACTCGGGAGGCAGAGGCAGGCAGATCTCTGTGAGTTCGAGGCCAGCCTGATCTACAGAGTGAGCTCCAGGACAGGCTCCAAAATAATACAGAGAAACCCTGTCTAGAAAAACCAAATAAAATAAAATAATAAAGGAACAAAAAGAAACACTGAGGTACTTAAGAAAGAGCCATGGCTGGGTGTGGCTCAGACACATGATCCTAGGACTTGGGAAGTAGAAGCAGGGGTTCAGGAGCTCAAGGCTATCCTTGGCTACACAGGGAGTTCAAGGCCAGCCTGGTCTACAAGAGCTAGTTCCAGGACAGCCTCCAAAGCCACAGAGAAATCTTGTCTCAAACAGCAACAACACAAAACAACCCCACCAAACTAACCAAACAACCAAACAAACAAACAAACAAAAAACCAAAAATGGGCTGAGCATGGCAGTGTACACCTAAAGCCCAGCTCTAGGAGGCAGAGGCAGGCAGAACTCTATGAGTTCAAAGCTAGTCTGATCTACAAAGTGAGTTCCAGGACAGCCAGGGTCATACAGTGAGACCCTGTTTCTAAATAAATAAATAAAAGATATGTGGAGAACAGAAAGGCTCCTCAGAGGTCTTGTAAGAGCAAGACTGTGTTCTCCACTGTGTAAAGAATCACCCAGAGAAATCCTGTCTCAAAAACAAAAACGAACAGAATGGCCCAGGCCACCCTTGATTTCAGTTCTTCCACAGGCAGCTGTGTATTCGGTCAGGTAGGTGAAGGCATTCCCAGAGGTGAGGTGACCGAGAAATCCCTCATGAGATGTGGGATGGTGGCTTTAGGTGATGTCCTTAGAGCTATCTAAACTCTTTTCTTTGAAAACATTATGGACTTCACTCTCCCCCAAAAGGCAATCACCAGTCACCACCCAAAATCACGGAAGGACATTGACAGGCGGCAAGATTTCGTGAGAAGCTCCAGCTTGACTTCACCTGTGTGTGTGACTGCTCTAGGGGCTCTCCTGGGATTTCCCTTTGACTTTACATGCCCACACCGCTTCAGAGAAACTCTCTGGCGAAATGCATACAGCTTGGCAGGTACTCTGTAGCCATCCCCAGCGGGGCTGCAGGCCTGCTTCCTTTACTAGGAAGGCTGCTTTCCTAAGCCCTCGGAGAAATCCCCAGTTGGCTTTTAAAAGTTGAGTGGTTGGTTTTTATAACAAAAAGTCTTTTTTGGGGGGGGGGGGAACCATGTAGCTCATGTTGGCTTCACATTCACAACTGACCTGCCCCAGCCTCCCCAGTGCTGAGATTACAGATGAGATGTGTATCCTGGGTGGTGAATGTACCTTCTCTGGGCAGTCGTGCCTCTGAAATGCTCCCCGATGCTGAGTCTGACCCATCTACGCTGCTCAGGCACTGTTTGATAAGCCCGGGAACACCTGTCACTCCCTTACCTGCAAAAAGCCCCTATGTTCTCCACCAGGTAGCACTGGCCGCCGTTGTGACAGTAACTTGGGAAGAGGTCACACAAGGACCGGCAGGAGCCATTGTGCCTGACAAAGCCAACTCGACACACTGTGTCGTTTTCACCTGAGGCCAGGTCCCTGCCTGGATCTCCTGGGCGGGGCCTGAGGGAGATGCTGCTGCCAGGGACTACCCCCAGAGTATGCTGTGGGGGGACAGCATGCCACCGACTGGTGGGCTGTCCTGCCCCAGGCCCCACACCAGGCTTTTGAGAGGGCAGGAGAAGGTCATTCTCGTCTTCCAGGTCTCCACCCCCCACGGCATCCTTCTCCTCCTCCTCCTCCTCGTCCTCTTCCAAATCATCGTAGAAGGATGTGGTGGGGTAGAAATCCGACTCATCAAAGGGGGTGAAGTCATCATACAAGTCAAGCAGGCTCCAGGAAGGGGTCTCTCCTTCAGCATCGGGGTGATTCTCTGAGGCTCCTGGTGCGCCTGGGAAGCTGCCCATGTCTGTACCGTGACCCTCACTATCCAGTCCTTCAAAGTAGTCGATGTCAATTATATCTGAGGCCGGTTGGGTCTCTAGAGTGCCTGGAAGGGGATAAGTGGGTTCCGGCCCTTGAGGGTCGGGTGTGCTACCTCCCAGGTTCAGCCAAACCTCCAAGGGGCTCTCAGGGAGTTCTGAGCCTGGGCTAGGCTTATCATGAGTAGTGGGCGAGGGAGGTCCACCGGCTTCAGTAGCCTCAGGGATGGCAGGGGGCATTGTAGACGACCCATGGGCCTCATCAGGAGCCTGGAGAGTAGCTGGGAGGGTCTGGGCGTCGCCACTACCAGTCTCTGCGGTCACTCCACCCAGGCCTGGGCTATCTGCCTCCAGCCAAGCAGTGCCAGTCACTGCAGCCGATGCCTCTAGTGCCTCCTCTGGCCCTACCCCAGGGCCCAAGGCAGCCAGCTCACTGCCCGGCGCTCTCCACGAGGTCTCATCTTCCCCATCAGCGGGCAGGCCGGCTTCCTCCCGAGTGTCATTGGCACGCGGCTCCCATGCAAGGCCGCTCCTCACCAGCTCTTCAGCCTCGATCGCGCTGCCTGCTTCACGTGCTGTGGGAGGGCGAGGGGCAGGGTGTTAAGGTCGCCGGTGGGGGTGAGAGGGCTCTGAGAGGGAAGTAGACCAGGGTCCACCCGGGGACTCTCCTTCGGTTTCCAAGGCCACGCCCCACTTTTAAGGCTCTCCCCGGAGTCTACCTCCCAAGCCCGGGAAGTACACCTTGCCTATGGTTTCCCGCCCCAGACAACGCCCGCAGTCTGGGAGGCAAGGTCAGGGTAGTCCACCAACTCTGGCTCATCCTCGTCTTCGGGACCCCGCCCCGCCCACAAACCCCGCCCACAAATCTCACCCAGGCCCCGCCCCATTCAAGACCCCGCCCCTACCTCGAGACCCCCGCCCCCACCCCCACCCTAGCCCACCCTGCTGTCTCCTCACAGGCTACCGGCTGCTCCCCGTTGGCCTGTGTCCCCCACCCCCCATGTCCTCTCCTCCTCCTGCGCCCCTTTCCCGCCCAGGTCCCCGGCTGCAGGCCAGGCGGTGCCCCGCCCCCTTGTCACGGCTTGGGGACTCCACCTGGACCTGAAGCCAGCGAGACCCTGGCACGGGGTGGGGCGCGAGGGCTGACTGGGATCGCGGTCGCGGTGGGTACCTACCCGGCACGGCCCCAGCGGTGAGGACGAGCGTGGCCCCCAGAAGCAGCAGCGCTGGCGGCGGCCCCCAACTAGGGCCCCCGCCTCCAGCTCGGCCCATTGCGCGGAGCCCCGGCCGCCGTGCGCGGTGCGCGCGGCTTGGCTGCGCCCTCGGCTTGCCCGGCCGCCGCGCCTGCCGCCCGTCTGCGGCCGCCTCAGCCCACGGTGGGCAGCATGAGCCGCCGCATGCCGCCGTCAGCCGCTGTCCTCCGCGCGCCGCGCCTCCCCGCCTCCCGCGCCGCCGCTGCCGCCTGCCGCTGCCGCCGCCGCGCTCGGCGCCGCCCCCACTCCGCCCGCCCGCCCCGCTGCACGTCGCGTTGACGCCGGCCCCTCTCGCTCGGTCCTCCTCGCCAGGGGGACAGACAGACCCCCCCACCCCCGGCACCGGACGCGGAGAGCGCCGGGCGCGCCGGGGCGGCAGCAGAGCTGCAGGGGGAAGCCGACAGGTGCACGGGCGGGAGCCCGCAGGGCCGGCCTGCGCGGCCTGCGCTCCCTGTGCAGAGCGCGCTCGGCCGCGGACCTCCTAGGAACCCACCCGCCACGCGCGCGCAGGGAGGCGGGACGTCGCGGGCTCAGACACCCGCAGGCTCGGGGCGGGGCTCGGGAGGGCCGCAGGGGGCGGAAGCCCGCGCCCCCCGTGTGGAAAGCAGCGGGGACTGGGTACCGACTCCCGGGTTTCTGCGCCAACCCGATGTTCGGGGCAGGGAAGGTTTCCCCGTCTGAGTCTTCCCGAGAGCGGGCGAACGTCGACAGAACCTGGCAAGGAGGCGAATACGAAGGCCTAGGCTCTAATCGGATCAGACTTAATCCGTCCACAGCCAAAGCCATTAGTTTAGATCTTGCACAACCAGGTCTACTCAACGTATTACTCGGGCAGGGGGTGAGACCCTCCCCAATACTTGGACTTTACCTTGCCTTCTCTAAATCCAGGGCGGACTTTGAATCCTTTCCTATTTCCCCAGGATGCATAGTTTTCCAGATGAGCAGTACTGCCCAAACCCAAGTTTCTGGTTAGATCAAGGTCTAGATCATTGCCAATGCACACAGGATATGGCACGTGACTCGGGTTCATTGCTTACTGGGAGACCTGCTGGGAGGGGAGGCAGACTTAGACACCTAGTAGTTCCAGCCTCCAAATAGCCTATTTCTTGATGTCTTGTTATCGACCTAAATGATTATGTTCTGCTCAGCCCAAGGACATGGGGTGATGCTGGTGTTGATGCTCCTAAGTCTGTCAGATACCAAATATGATAAAGATGGAGAGGCTGTCATTTAACGTCTCACATGAATCTCCTCGTGGGCTTGCCTTTGTTCAACACTCCCATCACAACGCTGCAGCTCGTTTCCCCAGCCTGGCAAACTTTGTGCCCGAAAAGTTCGATTTCCTATTACCGTGTTTTCTGTGAGGTCCACTTGTCCTGTTCATGCAGTTAGGCCTTTATATCCTATTAAGTACCTGGGTCAGAGGTAGGCTCTGTAGGGCCTGTAGGTGGCATCCATGGAGTGGCAACCAGCCACACCTGTCCCAGCTCCTTGAGTCTGGAGTTCCATTCAAGAGGGAGCCAATATTTGCTGCTTGTTTTCTAGGGCCAGTCTGTGTGGCAAGGGCCTTCATGTCTAGTGCATGGGCACAACGAGCAGTCTTTTCTCACTTAGGGTTAGGGAGAGTATCTGCCTAACACAGACTTTAGGTTCAATTCCTAGTACCACAAAATAAATAATTGTTTTTGCTGGTAATGGTAGTTCATGCTTGTAACCCCTGTCTAGGGCCAACTAAACCAACCAAATCCCTCTATCCACCCTAGCTTGTTTCCCATCCTTAACATATTTTGTATAACTATCCTTTTAAATTCTGGGGTTTTGATCAGTAAAACAAACACATGGTATCAAATGTGAAATATCTCATTCCTTAACTATGTTCTCTCTGGAGACAAATTTTGTTACCCCTTAGTTCAATTGTGTGTTGCTTGGAATTGAACCCATGACCTAGGGCACGAAAAGTGCCGTCAATGAGCTATTTATCTAGCACCAATTTTGAATTAAAAGAATATCAGCTGTTGACATTATGATCCTCCCTAGCACTGAGAACAGTAATTAGACCATACATATAAATTGAGCAAGGAAAAAAACTCATTCAGGGAGTGGTCTGTGGTAAGAAGAGCAAGATTTAGCATCAAGTCTGCCTGAGCAGAGACTTGAGCATGACAGGGTCTGGCAACCAGTGTCAATCAGTGGCAGGTCTGTATATGAAGGCAGAGGGGCTGAAGGAATGGTATGTGAACTAGGCAGTGACACTAACTACTGGCTGCAGCCTCCATCACGCCCTTGTTCGCTCGTGTACCATCTGAGATGTTTTGCGTGGCAATGGCTTCTACAGGCCTGTTTCCTCCTGGGTTTTGGCAATTTGCTGATAAAGCCAAGCCACAAGGACCACTGCTATGACTGCTGCATGCATCCTTATGTACAGAAAGAAAGACAGTGGCTTTATCAGGGGGCTACTGTCACTGCTCACATTATAATGGACCCTACATAGTTTGGTTTGGATAGAGAACATCTGTTGACTTTAAATCCTCAGTATAAACACCAACACACTGAAATTTTGGCATTTCTTCTTTAAAATTATATTCATCTAAATGTGAGGGCTCTTCATTTCACCCTTTAAAAATTCATTTTTGTGTGTGTGTGTGTGTTGTGCCTGCATGTACATGTATGTGCCCACACCGTACCTGGTATTCAGGAAGCCAGAAGACTAGAGATGCCCTGGAACTCGAGTTACAGTTATGAGCCACCACGTGGGTGTTCTACAAGAGCAAGTGCTTCTAACCTGAGACACTTCTCCAGACCCCCATTTCCTTCCCTAAGTATCAGAGGGACCAGGGTGCAGAGCAGGGCAACAGAAGACTTGTCTCCAGCACAGCCCAACTCTCCTCTTTCATCTGTTTATGTCCTACACCCCTTGAGACCTCAAACCAACAGGACTGAGGCCAGCCTTAAATTCCTAATCCTGCCTCTACCTTCCAGATTCTGGGATCACAAGCATGTCACTATACAAAGCTGCTATGCTATTAGTACCACCACCACGGAATGACCAGGCTTGGGGACAAACTTATTTGGGTGTGATGATCTACAACAGACCTGCTTCCACCATTTCTGGTGGGAAGGGGGTGGGGGCTAAAGAGCATCTGTGCTGACGATGTAACTTCATGCTAGAGGTGTTCTCATCCAGAGTCAGGTGCCACATATCTGAATGTGGACATTTTGCCAAAACAATGGTTTGTCATCAGTTGGAAAGGGCTTCTGAATTAGCTCCAGAGTTGGGCCAATTGTGAGAAAACCACAAAAGTTACTAGACTGCAGATGACCAGTGTTGCTCAAGAACCACCCTGTAGATGCTGCTGAGTAGGATGACCCAGAGCTAGGCACAGTGGCACGGAGGAGGTAAGGCAAGAGGACCAGAAATTGAAAGCTATCCTGGGATACACGAAGGCACCTCACAACAGTTACCCGACATAGACTAAGGCATGCTACAATCCAGATGGCTACTGCAAATTTGTCAGTGTTAAGGCAAAGACAATTTCACAATCCCTGAGAGCTACTTCTAACCCCACAACTGTTCCATATAAAATGATAGGCTGCTAAGGAATCAAGAGTGAGGGGCCTACCTACAGGTTGTGGTCACTACACCTTAAGGTACTGGTATTTTGCTAAGGTCCTAAAAAACTTAGGGCAGTGCTTTCTCCTAAGGGTAAAGCTACTGCCAGCACAGGTTACATGGCTGCTCTCCACGAAGCTACAAGAACATGCAAAGGTTTCTGGGGGTGGGATATAAGTGGTTAAAGGCACCTCCAACTTCCACACAGCAACCAGACAGGGACTTTTTCACCTCTGGTTTCGCCAGGGGCCAGAACAGGGCAAGCTGATCCTGGAGGGTACCTGAGTATTAATAATAGTATTTGGGTCACTGACTTTTCCCTCCCACCCACTACAGGGTTTCTCTGTGTAGGCCAGGCTGTCCTCAAACTCTACAGATCACCTGCCTCTGCCCACTGAATGCTGGTATTAAAGGCGTGCACCACTACACCTGGCTCCATTAGTTATTACTTCTTTTTTCTAACGTGGGAAGTTTTATTGGGGCACGAGAAGAGGGCAAGGGAAAGAAAGGGGGGAAGAGGAAGGAGGGAAGCGGCAAAGCTCTGCTTACCTTGTCAGAGAACAGCAAGAAAAAAGCTCCATTCTTCATGGCAGTAGTCTGAGACATCAACCCCAAGCTCAGAATCAAAGCCCCTTCCCCACCTCACCATGTAGCTCCTAAGGGGCTTCAGAGAGAGCCACTAGCCTCTGCCCTTTATGACAGACATGAGTTTAAGATTAACAAAGGCTGATGGCCCAATATACCACATGCAGCACACCAGAAGTGAAGCCCTACTTCCCATTGGGGATTGAATTCAGATTATACAGAGAATTATAGAAGCTTACTCAGTGCAGATTTTACACATTATCCCCCAGTTTTCTCCAGAAAAAGATTTTGTGGAGACAGGTTTTATGTATACCAGGTTGGTCTCAAACTTGGGGTCCTTCTGACCTGTGATTACAGGTATGTACTACCATGCCCTGCCTTCAGGACATTCTAGATTATTTTCATTTTCTTGAAGAATGCTTGGCCCCGTGGAAAATGTTTATTAATTTCAGATTCTGGAGGACTGGACAGCACAACTTTGCTAGTTATTTGCTGCTGTGATTTTCCTGTTTGCAAGGTTATACATCTGAAACAGCAGGATCTCGAATTTTTATTGCATGAAATGCCCTGAGAAGAACCTGTAGTTTTGTAATATACCACTTACTAAGCAGAAAAAACTTAAAGCTAGATGTGGCTTTAACAGTACTCGGGAGTGGCTTGTGGGTCTTCATTAGTGCATGATCAGCCTAGTTTGCACAGTAAGTTCCAGGCTACCAAAGGCTACATAAAATCATTTATTTATGTGTATGCATGTGTGCATGCCAGTATGTTATGTGAAGTCAGAGGACTTTGGGAGTTGGTTCTCATTCAGTATGTTGGTGGCAAGCACAGACTGATACACAATCAGGTTTGAAAATTACTAATTTTAATGAATTTAGAAAAATTAATACTAATAGTTTGAGGAACACAAGGGAGACTGGTGGCCTGCACATGGTCTGCTATGCCTAGA